TGACTTGCATTTTATTAATATTTTTGATAATATTATTTTATGCTCTCTTCTTCACTTATCAAAGTTACTTGATATGTAAAATAATATATTTAATATATGTATTTGACCAAACTTAAAGTGGAATTACTATAAGACTATATACATTCTACATAATAGTACTTTTTCAAAAAATCTTTCTCCACATGAGTTCAAAGGCAGGAAGAGTATTATCTACAGGGGTGGAGAAAATCAGATACTATTGTGTTTTACATACAGTAGTATCTGAACAGGTATATATTCAGATACTTCTGAAGTTCTCAGTGGACATAAGTTTTAGGGAGATACTATTCAACTTCATAACAGCCAACAAATGAGTTCAAAATTTCAGAAAATATTAAAATAATTCATTTTCTAAGTAATAAAGATTATATTTTTGGTTTATATTATATCAGATCCTCACTCATTTTTCCTTTAGTTTAATTCCTCTGTCCCCAGTTGGTCCTGTGTCAGAAGGCTGGGACTTACCCATGAGAAAGCATAAGCTCTCCCTGCAGTGGAGCTTGCTGGGAATGCAAGGTGATAGGTAAGCTGATGAACTCTTTCTAAACATTTGACCCACAAAAATAGCCAGACATTTAAAAATGAAATCTGTGTTTCCTAGATGTTTGTTTATATTAATATCAGACAGAGTGGACCTTAAGACAAGGAGTATTGCTAGAAATAAAGAGGGCATTTCATAATGATAAAAGGGTCAATTCATCAGGAAGACATATCTTAAATGTTTATTCACCTAATAAAGGAGGGTCAAAATCCCTGAAGCAGAGAAAATATAGTCAAATCCACAATCATAATTAGGTAGTTTTAATATTCCATGCTTAATAATTGATAGAATATATAGACAAAAATATCAATAAAGATATGCAAAATGTGAACAGCATAAATGATACCCTCGGCCTAAATTGCATTTTAGAACACTCCGCCAAAAACTGCAGAATAGCCATTCTTTTTCTAGTATATATGGGGAGTGTACCAAGGTAGACAACAGGGTAGGCCAAAAAGTATCAACAGTAAAAAACAGAAGGAAAATTTATAGAGCACGTTCTTTAACCACAAAAGAAATACATGAGAAATCAATGACATAAAAAAACCTCCAAATATTTTAAAATGAAAAAAGATATGCTTTCTCCTTGCAACTCTTGAAAGAATGTCAGTAAAACAACTTATTCAACTCTATGAATTTCAGGTGGGAAAAGAAAAATTTCCACCGAATTCATCAAAAAATTAATACCAAAACCAAATAAATCTTTGAAATTTATGTGTAATCATATATTCTTTAAAGTTATCACATATTGCTGTTAAATGCTGGCTGCATCAATAAAGGTATATTCAGCAATAGCAATAATTCTTTCGGATATCCTAAAATTGTTGACATAGATACCCTATATTACTTTTCATGGTTCTATCTTTAAAAAACTTCTAAGATTTCAGTCTTCCTGGAACAGGAGAGGGACTTGTCAAGTCTTGGAAACCTAAAACAAGCACTTTTAATACATATGTTAATGCCATTGTTTACTGACTCAGCTCCAATGTTATTGGGGTCATTAGCAAAGCAGAAGCAGCTCAGATCCTGTCCTTTAAAATAGTGGGTACCTTCTGTGTACTGGATATCAAATCACCTATCCCCTGCCAGGTATCATAGCTGTTCTTGCAGTGCAAGTAGAAGCAGAGGTGCCATTTCTTGCTGAATTTTTTTTTTTTTTTTGCGGGGGTTGGGGGGTGGGGGGGGTGGGAAATCATCTGCTGTAGACATAGTGTTTCAAAAATCAGACAAAATATATTTCATGAAAAATCTATTTTGAGATCGACATTCATTTGAAAAGCTAAATGTAGCATCTGGTTAAAAAAAGGAAGGGATGAAACATCAAACTGAAAATATCCTCCTATATTGTGAAATTTTCTCAAGTGTAAATGAGACCACCTTTAAGTCTGTCACAGGCAAAGAAATCCAACTGGGGTCTTGATGACTAAAGGGATGTTAAAGAATCTCTCATCAGCAGACCATAAAGAATAAAGCAAGAGCTATCAGTACTGTGCAGATGTTATCAGGATGTGACTTCAGCACAACCCCACATCCCGATGGAGAGACAAAACTGCAGATGTTTAATATATTACAGGAACTAACTGCAAAATCTGTTTTGCTTCTCCTACTTTATAATGTTTAATTTTTGTAGAGACATGGCAATTGCATTTTTGAAGAACTTCCTCCAACCTTCATCACTTTGTAAGTCTAAGTGCTTACTACTAATATGCAGGGAGCTGTAGGTAAAGTGGCAGATTACATACTACCTGGGTATGGGGCCTGTGAAAGAAGGAGGGAGAGGTATGTTTCAGCACTTGTGTAAGGTGGTGGAAAGAGAGTTCTCATTGTTGTGTGATAATGGAACCCTACGTGTGAAGTAGAGACCTATGCACTGATTTGACAACAAATCTTTAAATCTGTTCAAAGTCCTGGCAAACAAAAAGAAACTCAGATTTGTTAAAGTAGAAAACATTTGGAGATGTGAAGTAAGCATTTCTGCTCAGATGATTTGTTTTCTTTTTTTTAAGTTAAAAATGTTAGAGTAATTATTTAATAGGTTATATATAGTTTCAAAGGAATTATTTGCCTTGGTGAGAATTATTTTTTTCAGGAACTGCTGGTCTTTTATTTTTGTGTTATTGAAACTAGCTGATTGTAAAGTCATAAACCTATATTTCTTTCATTTTGAGTAGTTTAAATGTAGTCATTTTCTAAAACAGTTTTGTTTTCCAAATAAAAGCAGCCCATCTAGTCTGTTCGGCTGCTGTTTTGATCCTGTCTCTAAGTGGTGTCTGCAGTTGGGGTGGAATAGGTCAGTTGGCTAGTGCCCTCTTCTGCTGGGCACAGGCCTTGCCCTCCTCTGCTATTCACTCAGTTCTTTTCCTTCCTCAGGGAGCCCACAGGACCTTGCCCTAGAGGGCCTTACATCGAATAAGCCTACATTGTTGAATCACATGCACTGAAGACTACAGAATAAATCATAGAAAAAGGAATAAAAGGTAAGTTTTTGAAAAAACAGGATGACTTCTATGAAATTAAAAACACAAGCCCCACTAATTATTAGATGGGCTTGTGCTTCAGAAAAATGTAATTAAATTCAAAATAGTAAATATTATGAAGCATATTAAAGAATAAATTCATCTTTATTTTTTAATATATATATTTTTATTGATTTGGGAGAGGAAGAGAGAGGGAGAGAGATAGAAACGTCAATACTGAGAGAGAATCATTGAGGGGCCACCTCCTGCACACGCCCCACTGGGGATCGAGCCCACAACCTGGGCATGTGTCCTGACTGGGAAGCAAACCACGACCCTCTGGTTCATAGGTCAATGCTCAACCACTGAGCACACCTGCCGAGTAAAGAATTAGATTCATCTGGAAATTATTATATCTGGTATTTACAAAGGTAAAAAAATAAGAGACAGATATTACCTGGAATTAGGACTGGCTTAGTATGTATTCTTAAAAATAATCTCTTTGAGAATAAAACCAACCACAAAAGTAGTACTTAAAATAAGTATAATGTATATTGTCATTATTCTTACATGGATTATTATCAGGAAGGAATAAATCCAAAAAATGGGGTTTAATATATTGCACTTGATTCCAAAGGAAGAGACAAGAGGGAAGTAAAACAAAAGGGATAGCCTTTCTTTATCTTAGAAGCCTAGAGCAAGCCAAGTAATTCTACTTTGGTGATTAGAAACAACCCTAACCAAGGACAAAGCAGTTCCTGGTTTTACACCAAAGTCAAAGCAGCCCCTCAGTTTAAAGCACATTTACCTATTTATATCCACGTGGTCTGGATGTAGTAGAAAGTGAACACAGGTCATTCACCTTTGAAGTTTGGTTTGTTGAGGGACTGTGTTCTCTTTGTATTTCTACTCCTAGTGCCCAGCGCAGTGCCTGGTACATCGCCATGCCCAATAATGCTGGTTGACTTGCATCATTGAACAATAGCAAAGAACTCTATTCTGAATGTTGGATAAGGTAAAAGTTCAAATATCTGAAAACTTCAATATTCTGTCTAAAGTATCACCTAAAAAAATTCCATGTAATGTTTATGCCAGGATAGGCAACTACAGAGGGGATGAAAGACATTCTTTTGTGTAAGGTGGTTGCACCTTTTGCCAAGATGGGACTGACCAAAAAAACTCAAACTATTTTGAGGAGATGCTATCTGCCAAAGGGATTGCCACAATACATGTAGGATCAAAGAACATTCCACATTTTACCCTGGTGATTAGCTGTAATTAAATAAAGTAAGTCTTTTTAAACTTCATTAGCAGCAAGACGTTTGCTACAGCAGAGTGGGCACAAATCATCCATTCTTAATTAAAAGATAATCCACAGGATGGCCATAATCTTCTCCTAAAAATACAACATTTCCCCCTGAAAGATTTTTCTCATCAAATAAGGATAAATAACAGTTTCTATGAGTTTAAGCCATGAAGGAAAGGATGCTCCCCCGTTTGCTTGAGTGAGTGCTGAATGTGGCTGATAACATCACTTTGGCATGCTATTATCTAAAATGGTAGAATACCTCACTTCAGCAGAGTCTGACATAAATCTTTGAAAACAAAGACATTGCATATGTATGAGCTGAAATAGATATGACAGTGTTGGCACATTAATATTCCTGTCACTAGGGGGTTTCAAACTTTTAAGTTGAGGATGGGAATGAATTCAGACTGTAGCTGGTAAAATCGGGTGACATACAGTAGGACAATTAGGCATTGCCTACCATAATAAGATATGTACAGAGAAAGGGTTCCCTGTTCCCTGCCTTTGGTAAAAAATGACTGTAGGATTATCTCCTGGGAATGCCACGAATAATTAATCTGGCTTAGAAATTTGCATGATTGTTCTAAGCATACTAATAAGAATGTTCTGTGAAGACCAGTTTCAATCAGTGGAAGAGAGAACTGTTTTTTCTTGTGTAGCCATTATGGTGGTTCACGGGTAACAGATGTTTCCACTTATTCCACAACAACCCTCATTAAAAGTAACTATAAGGCCTAATTGAGTAGTTCTCCACATATTTGGATCTTTGCAGAAAATAGTTCTATTATTGTATGTTTTACAATTATTTCTCTTCCTGATTTTGGTGGCTGATATGAAAAGCGTTACCGTAACTTTTTAGCTTAACTTCTCAGGAAGACATAAATGGATGAAAGTTAAACTTCTTTTAACTCCATCTTACTCTGTGTGGACTAAGTGTCAGGAAGCCTCTACTTAGAAATGCCAACTATTTTTAGAAGAGCTTTATAAATCATGAAATTCTAGAAAATCACCACTTACCAGGAAAGATGACATAACGGTTGCATTAGATTTTAGTTTGTATGGGACTGGGCAAGAGTTCAACACTCGGTCTTGATGAAAAATTGTCACTAAATTACAGTTACGGTGTTTGAAGCTGATGTTGAAATGTAAAAACATATGCGTTGACCTGTTGAGTGGAAATGAGGGGCTGCTCAAAAGGTGTTCCCCCCCGCCCCCCCAAAAAAGCATTTTGACCATGTATCTATAGCCCAGGGAAACTTGGTCTGAGCCCTGATAGCAGTCACCCAGATGCAGAAAAGGGCTTCAAAACCTCTCCTTTGACAAAGAGACTTGAAATAATATCTGACAAAAGCATTGCATGCAAACATGATGGCAAATCAGCAATCATACAGGCTGCAAAGGAGAGCACATCTCACTTCCAAATGTCTGTTTTCTTCTTCTTCAGATTTTACTAATAACATCTCATAGAGGTGCTTAGGTCAGTATTTTTAAAAACAATTTAATATATGACTGGGTTTGGTTTAACTCCTTTATTCCACTAATGCTGTTTGTCATTTTATGCATGTGTCAGCATTGTTTTTGAATGGCAAAAAAAAAAAAAAGAAAAAAAGGCTGGGAATAAACCAAGCACAAAGAAAGACTCTTGTAGCTCACTGTATGTAACTTTGTTTTAGAAAGCGATAGATATTCCATGAAGATAGGTTATACCCCACTTGCAAACTATTGCTACCTCTTAAATGAAGTAATACATTGAAAGAAAATGACCTACACTAAATTAAATCATATTGATGAAAAGAATGGCAGCAGATTTGACCAGATCCAAGTTGCTTAGCTACTCTCTTTCAATGTGTTGTTCTTGATTTCGAAAAGTAAATAAAAATAAGGCTTTTCAAAAGGAGTTACAAAATTAAACTTTGTTCTTTCTTTTTTCCCTTTTAATTGTCTTTAGAGAGAGGGAAGGAAGGAGGGAGGAAGAGAGAAATATTGATGTGAGAAACATCGATCACTTGCCTCCCTCATGCACCCTGACTGGAGATCAAACCCCCAACTTAGGTATGTGCCCTGGGTATGTGGGTATGTGCCAAAATCCCTACTTTTTGGTGTATAGCCAACCAATGGAGCCATACCAGCCAAGGCACAAAATTAAATTTAAATATTAAAATATTTACTTTGTTTTTATCTAATAGTATGCCATGAAAAATTTACATGTACAAATATGAATTTTGATCCCATCCTATAAATAAGTAATCTTTAAAGGTATATGTGCCCAATGAAATGAAGCCCAGGTTTCAACCTGGATAAATATGAAGACAAACAATGACAACAACAACAATAATAAATCAGATGGAACACCTACTTCACAAATAACTGCAGCATAAACTTTCTCAAAATCTTTACCTTTTTATTTTGTAATCATCAATCTGTTACTGATCAAATATATAATATATATCAAATAAGGAAAATGCTCATAGTATAAAATTATTGATACGAACTGTAAATAAAAACAAAGCTACTTGGGCCTATAAAATGTTCTTTCATGTTGATTCATTGCAGAAAAATAATGAATTGCAGCTTCTTCTTCCCCTGACATATTTGGGATAGTGAACATGCCTTTGAAATGTCTTAAATATTCTAACACCCACTATACAACATTCAGAAGAGGAAAAAAACAACAACACATGCAGTTATTTCGTTGGTGGTCATTTTTTAACCTCTCATTCAGTATTTAAGAATACCAAAAGCATATGGTTTAAGGGGAAGGAAAGAAACAAACTTAGTCAAATGTATTGAAATGCAAGAATATATTTTAAAGGTTCTATTAGAAGATACTTGATCATTAGCAGTAAGTCCATTTACCACATGGTCTGTAATATGAAGACAGTTTAAGATCTCTATCTCTGAGATCTGCAGTAAACACATGTGCTAATCAAGTTACCTACGAAGTGGTTGTAGATAAGGATACTCCTAAATTTATGTCTATAAACATGTTATCACTTTATTATTTTTTTAGTATATATTTTCATTGATTTTAGAGAGAGAGGGAGGGAGAGGGATAGAGAGACAGAAACATTGATTGTCTGCCTCCTGCATGCTTCCTACTAGGGATTGGGCCCATAACCCGAGCATGTGACCTGGCCAGGCATCACACATTTGACCTATTGGTTCATGGGTTGACACTCAACCATTGAGCCACACCAGCCAGGCAAACATGTTAACCATTTTAAAAAGCATTTAGGAAGATGTATTTTTCCAACCACATTAACATAAATAATTTTTATTTATACCCTCACAGTTTCTTTCTTAGGATAATCTCTTTTGTTCTATCAGATCATGCAGGCTAAACTTATTTTGATATTTATTTTTTTCTTGAGAGTGAGAATTTCAGCAAATCACTTATAAACTATCACGTCCCTTTATTGTATAATGCACCTTGTGGGATTTAGACTCTTACAAAGCTAGTGTTTTATTAAAACATTTCAGACATAATTTATTTGGTTTCAAAGACATAATATGCTGTATCTTGTTTATTTGAATTAAATATTTGTCTCACACTTTAGCACACCACACAAACTTCCTTGTTTGAACTGACCAAAATGGTCATGAGTTTGATTATATATGGGGTTGAAACATTTAGTATAATAAGCACTTCATATGAAACGTAGAAAGCAAATGTCTACAAACAAATGTGAATTTGGTATTTCCAATGAAGAAT